TTGTCCTCTTCTGAGTTTTTGTTTTGATCTTCCCTGTCACCATAGTAGCTTTCTATGGTCAGGGTTTTTTTGTTGTTGTTTGCTCATTTTCCAGTCAATTTTGTGACTCTAAAGTTGAGCTCTGCGTCCTTTTGTACAGGAGACACATATGTTTCAAGCTTCTTGCACTGGGGGGGCACCAGGGCCTCTGGGGCTGACAGCTCGCCTGTTGCAAAGGGTGATCTTGGGCTAGTGGCTTGCCTGCTGCTCTGGGGCTAGAAGCTTCATGGCTGGCCTGCTTTGCAGCTGGTCTGCTGAGCCAGATGTGGGCTAACCTGTGCTGGGGTTAGAGACCTCCCACTGGCTTGCAGGACACTGCCTGCACTGGGTATTCCCTTCTAACCCCAGTGAGACAGACCTTTTCTGCAGTCCTTCTAAATTATCTTGGGCTGGAAAATGTTTCATCCTATCCTTTTGTGGCTTCTGTCACTCTAGAATTTGTTTTGAGACTTAATTTAAAGTTGTTTTGAGGGAAATTGGGAAGAATTCAGGGAACTTCCTTTTCTCCACCATCTTGGCTCTGCCTCTTGCACTGTAGCTATTTTTGACCTCATCAGTTTAGTAGCCCAGGTAGTCAGGGTCCCTGGTGAGTGTTTTGTAGTTGTCCCCATTTTTTTTTCTCTATTCCTGAGGCTGAGAGTAGTCAGAAGTTCGCTTTCATCTGGGAAGGAGTCCATTATATATCTTTATGAAAAAGTAGTATTATTGTGATGTACCTTGCTATCTAATGGCACAGGGAGGGTGAAACTGTCTCTGCATAATAGAGGTGAAGATTAATTTACCTGAAAGAAATGAGGTCCTATAGCTCATTTGGTGGTAATCCTAAGTTCCTGGATGGTAAATCCTTGTTAGCCCCCATGAAAGATGGGAGTAGCCCTCAACAGAAGCCTCTAAAAGAAGAAATTTGGCATTATCCTACCATTGGTCCTACCGGGAAGAGGAATGTCCTGTCTCTTGGTCTAGTAATCACCAAGGGAGTCTCCATGTCACCATTAATACCAGGATTGGCTGTATGCAAGAGGTGAGAATTGGTGACCTTACTAGAAGTTCTATCACTTGTACTCCCCTTGTTGTAGCTCTTATGTCTCTGGTGCTGCTCCTGTTCATTATCAATACTTTACATCATAAGACTCACTATGAACTGCAAAGATGTACCATCACAAACCACATGGAACAGGTGACTGTTGAGATCTGGACTCAATCTTTCCAAAGGGGAGAGGTGAAGTCTGAGACTTATAGTCTTCATTCTCTTCATTATTTAGTTACTCTTTCAAGGGACTGGATGTTAATTTATATCCCTTTTTGTTTTGTTTTGCTTTGTTTTTGCTATACTTATGGTTTACTTTTTTTGTTTATTTTTCTCCCTCCTAGTTCTGCCTCTTCCCAGGCCTCTTGAGTATCCAAGGTTAGGGTTTTGCAGTAGTGTCCTTAAAGCCCTGTAAGTGTTAGAAGGTCTTCTAGAACATTTTTAGGACCTTGCCACTAAGGGAGGAGGTATTACAAAAGCATTATCTACTAGAGTTCCTTGATATGTAGACTAGGCCATTTCTTTTCCTAAAAGACAGGAAAGTTTTGTCAGAGACTTTATTGAACCAGGAGGCTAAACGAAGCTATGTAGCCATTAACATGGATTCCTGATTTCCTAAGGGTATAAAAGGTGCTATGGAGTCATTGCTCTTAAGATTTGGTCGATGTCCCATGTCTGTGCTGACCAGATAACTTTCTGTATGAAGATGATGGGCACTGTATCTCCTCAGTTCAAGTGCTGTATCTTTATTGACTCTCCGTTTCATATTGTGGCTAAATAAACATCCTTTTGTTAAGTATGACTCATTTCACTCCACTCTTAAATCTGAACTACCATAACCAGTCTATGTCAGGTTTGGTCTATGGAATTATGTTGGTGGGAATATGAAATGAGGGTGTTGGAAACTTGGGCATAAAAAGGAGAGGAAAGAGGCAATGGGAAGACAAAGAGAGAAGGAAGGAGAGGGAGGGAGGGAGGGAGGGAGAGAGAGCAACAGATGGGATTAAAAGGTTGTTTAGAAAAGTTAATCTTGACAAGGAGACCAAACTATGTAGTACCTCCCTTGCCTGGGCCTGCTGAGGGATAGACTAATGGCTAAAATCTATTGTATATTTTCAAGTTAAATTTCCACAAGAATACATCCACTGTTTTCAGTGAAAACAGAGTTCAAGGTCAATAAGAAAAGAGACTTAACTGGGTGGCTTTTCTCTCATTGACAATGAATGCAGGGCTATTTTATTTAATATTGTATGCATAAACAAGGTCCAAGTTTTGTTGATGCAAAGTATGGGTTCATTTTGCTATGGTAGCCATCAGCATAAGTTCACAACTTGGTCAAATTGTGATGTTATTCTGCTTGCTCCATTTGAATGTGAAGTATAAATTTAAAAAAACCTTATGTAGAAGATAAAAGTACCATATTTAATTTCCTCAACATTCTTTTTGTGATATAAGTGCCATATAATAAGCTAGTTTCCTCCAAACTGGTAACTTAAAAAAAAATAACTCAATAATAGGTATAATTGTTTGAACTTTTCAACGATTAAATGTAATTTTTTGTTTTCTCAAATTTTTAACAAGTGAAATAATACACTTTTATGATGAATAATATATAACCATTGTATTTGAGGAAAAAAATCCCCTGTAACTAATACATTTATCTAGAATAAGTCAATATAAGTAGTAGAAGTACAGAAAAACACAAAGTAAAATTCCAAAATTCAGAAAATACAATCCACTGTAATTATTCACTTTGTGTTGTTGCTTTAACTGCAGATAGTATGAAGCATTGAAATGACATCTTGAAAATGTATATTCAGAATGTACTGGCAAGTCAAGGAAATTTTTCTAGAGAAAATAAAGATATTTTCCATACTAAAAAACACCTTTTTTTCCTTCCAGGACTATGTGACATAAAAATAATTTTTAAAGTCTTCTTGGTATTGTTTAGTTGTTCAATGATGACTGGCTCTTTGTTGACCCCCATGGATTATACTGTCCATGGGGTTTTCTTGGCAAAAATACTGGAATGATTTGCCATTTCCTTTTCCAGTAGATTAAGACAAACAGGGTTAAGTGATTTGCCAAGGGTCACAATGCTAGTAAGTTTCTAAGGCTGGATTTGAATTCAGGTTGTCCTGATTCCAGGCCCAGGGCTCTATCCACTGAGCCACCTAGCTGCCTCCTTAGAGCAATGTTTAAGAAATTGATAAATGTAATAACACCAATTTGCCAGGAATAACATTACTGATACTTATATTGATATGGTTGAAATGATGCTCCTTGAGTTATATGCAAAGCAACTTTCAATGGTTCCACTTACAGATAATGTGGTAGGAAGGAGAGCAAAGCATATGAGAAGACTTATAATCCGTTAAGAAACTTAACTCTTCCTATTTGGCATTGAACATGGATAAGGTAACAGATAGTTATAAATATTCAATTGGTTGTACAGTATTTTTGGAATTGATATTAGGAAAGATTCATTGCCTTCAAAACTTATTGATAGCAATACTTCATCAAGAGGAATTTTCAATATTATTTGATAGATTTTTAAACAAAAATCATAAGTTGGAGAATTGTATTGCGTTCTGTAGAGACAGATCTCAGGTGATGTTGGGATGATATATCCATATCTAAAAATGTGACATCCCTCCCCACCATTCACTTTGGACACATTGTATTCCTCACAAGCAATAGCATATCAAGAAATATGAAACAGGATTTTTTGCTTTAGTTAGTTGCAGAGACAAAACACTGATCTCAATAAGTGATTGAAAAAGTAGCAATATAGTCTTTGTGCCCAAAAAACAAGTCCACCTGTTCTATTAATATTATATGATTAGTATTTTTAAGTTATAGTCAAGGAAATCTATAGGACTTTATCAATAAATACTTCTGTGAATCATATTTATTGTATTGTGAGGTTTGTTATACACTTTACAATAAATTCTTAATTTTTTTAAAAACAAATATGATAAAAAGGAATTATTTGCCTAGATTTTTATATGAAAAGTATAGGAAAGTGTGACAATTTTTTTTGTAAGAAAGGGGACATTAAGTTTGGAAACTGCTATCTTATTCCATTCACCATTCTCCCACTCACCTGAATTCTTTGTGTTTGTGTTGTGAGAAATCTGTTCTTGAGAGCATCCAATCTCCTTTGATCTGATTTGTCCTCTAAAATCTTAGTCTATAGATTGCTTTTCAAATAAACTGTTGTCTAGCCACATTTTCCCCTTTCTGTACTTGAGCATTTTTTTTTAAAACCAAGAATTCATTGATCATGATGGCTATATCAAAGGAAAACTGATGTATATAGGAAACCAGTTTGTTTTCTATAACTTTATGTTAATTCTTTCAGTGTTATGATGGGGGGGGGAGCATAGTGTTAGTTATCTGTAATGATAGTGATCTTTCAGCCTTTTTTTTAGCTTTTACATTTTATTTATCTGTTTTTAACAAAGAGAATCTCATAGGAGATTTTCAGGTAAAGTTTTTTGGAGAGTATAGTTAAATTTGACAATAAAAACACTACCTTGTTTTATTTGAAGTTCCCAAAAAGAAAGAGGAAAGGAATACAGTTTCTAGAAAAAAAAAATGGCAAGTCCAGGAATAAATATAATGATGAGTTCCAGTGCTTCTATCGCTGGGGAACTTTCTTCATCTAAGCACATATGAACAATTGATCCTTGTAGTCATATATAGTAGTAAACATTAATAACTTAACAGTCTGAAGTCAGTGCTGAAGATATGGAGCATTATTGAAAGATGAAGTCGAGCAGGTGGCACTTTAATATGTTCAGTGTTATGGTTGACTCTAAAGACTAGTCGAATGAAATTACTTGAGGTTCTAAAGATTTAAAAAGCGAACTCATTTTGCTGCACTAAGGAAATGCTACTGATCAGGCTTTCTGTGTTCCTTTTTTTCTAGGCTAGAAAATATTAACCCTGAAGAAAATGACATGGTAAGCCATTCTCTGAGGAGATTTCTTGATGTCAGTCGTATATCTTAGAGGCTTAAGTTCAATTGAGTGGGTTTCAAGAACTAAGAAGTAGGGAAAAAGAAGAATTGACACACTAATAATGTACATCTTTGCTGCAATATGAAAATTCAATAACTTCACTCCGTCAATTTACCATTCACATGTGCCTATTAATTAAAACCCTATATTAAATAAAATATATTAAAACTTCATGTAGGACTAACATATAATGCTGTTGGTAGACATTACAGGAATTACTGAACAGAATAAACAATGCAGACACAGGGAGAGCTATCCAGAGTAATGGAGCTGTAATTATGGATCGAATATACAAGACCAAGGAATGTAAAGAGAAAATAACTACTGAAGAAATGAATGCAGTGATAGAAGAACGCGATGCTGCTTTATCTAAGGTGAGTTTTGGAAAAAGTTTATAATAATTTCCTCCCTGTTTAATAGAAAAAAAATCATTTGAAAATCAAATCAGTTTTGTTTCGGACAGCTTTGAAATTTCCAGATAACTTTTGTTTATGCAACAGACATGCTATATTTATGTTTATACATTATCCCTCCTCTTTGTTAATATATTTTCTACCTTTTTTTTCTAAGCTAAATGTATATACTAGTTTATAAGCAATAACTGTACTCTAAAAATAATCACTTCTTATTTGGTTACCAAAATTGTGAGTAATGTTCAGCCTCTTGTTCAGGATAAGAATGTGGTTAATAAGTATTTTTAGAAAACTAGCCACATAAGTGGCTCTTAATATGAAGAAAAAAAAATCAGCTATTTTATTAGTCTATTTTAAAAAATTTTGGGGTTTTTTTTGTTTTTTTTTTTTTAGGCAGTTGGGGTTAAGTGACTTGCCCAGGGTCACACAGCTAGTAAATGTCAAATGTTTGGTCTGAGGCCGGATTTGAACTCAGGTACTCCTGACTTCAGGGCCAGTGCTCTATCCACTGTGCCACCTAGCTGCCCTTAAAAAATGTTCTAAACATATGTATGTATATCTATCATTTATCCATCCACCTATCTTCTATCTATCTACTTTTCTTTCTGTTTGTCTGTCTATCCATCCACCTATCTGTATTTCTATCTGTTGGCATCATGATATAGTGGTTACAGTGCTGGACTTTGTCAAGAAAACCTGACCTGAGGAGGATTCAAATCACACTGCTGACATTTACTAGCTGTGTAACCCTAAACAAGTCATTTAACCTCTCTTGACTCTATTTCTTATCTGCTAGGTGGGGGTGGGGATGAGAAAGGACTACATGGCCTCTAAGGCCATTCTTGGCCCTAGATCTCTGCTCTTTTGATTTGCTAATTCACTCTACTTGTGGGGAAAGGAGGTTTGACTTAATAGTTCAAAATGAAGAAAAAAAAAATTAAGGAGATAATTCTATTATTTTCCATTACATACAAGACCTACAGTTGACTGGATATGATGAGAAGGGCTTCTCAGAATATCTTTTAAGTGCTTTCAAAGTAGATAAGAATCACCTATAATAAGCAAATTCATTGTTTGAAATATCAGTGATCTCTGAAGGATTAAAGAGAACCTGAACAATACTACAGTAGCAGAGAAGGGAAAGTTTCCTTACTTTTATAGAAGAAAGAAAATGGAGGCTAGAAGCCATTAAATTTAACTTTGATTCCTAGTGAAATTCTAGAAGATATTATTAAAATGTTGTTTAGAGAACATCTGGAAAAGTAAGAAGTAATCACAAAGCTATAATCTTATTCATGGCTTCATTAAGTACCAGTCATGCCAGACCAAAATAATTTCTTTATATGTTAGGGTTTATAGTTCAGTAGATCTGGAAAATGTTGCATATGGAATTTAGTTAGATTTTAGCAAAGCATCTAATAAAGCTTATTGTGCTATTCTTGTAGATAAGATGATGAAATGTGGACTTGACAATAATATTGTTAAGTTAATCTGGAACTGGTTGAGTAGCTGGACGCAAAGTGCAATCATTACTGGTTTCATGCCAACCTAGAAGTTCTGTAGTGAGGTATCCCAATGATCTGTTTATCCCTGTACTATTTTAACATTTTTAATAGTCTTCCATAAAACCTTACCAGATTTGCAAATGTTACAAAGTTAGAAGTGATAGCCAAATGTTGGAATCCAAATAGATCTTGACAGGCTGCAATGTTAGGCCAACTCTTTTAATATAAAACTTGATAGTGTTACATGTGAAGTCTTACACTTGAGTTCAAAAAATCAGCTTCTCAAGTATAAGATGAAGGGATTGGGTAAGATAGAAGCTTGTCTGATAAAAAGTCTAGAGCTGGAATTCTTATTGTGCGTGTGTGTCTGTGTGGTCATGGATCCTTTAACAATTTTTTGAAACTTAAAGACTCCTGCTCAGAATCAGGTTTTTAAGCACATAAAATAAAAATAAACTTTACAAAGGAAACCATCGTATTGAAATAAAGATGTAATTATTTTTTCTATTCAAGGACACAGAAACTCTGCTGCAGAGGTTTTAAGTGGACTGCAAGGTCAATATAAATGGTGCCTTGTGGTAGTAAAAAAAGCTAATATTATTATAGTCTTAAAATGGCATCATATACAGGCTTGGGAAGTGACAGGTGATAGTCCTTTCGAGAACTGTGCCCTGGTCAGGCCACACCTGGAATATTGTGTTCTCTCCTGTTCTGGGGACAGCATTTTAGGAAGAATTTTTTTTTGAGTTGGAGAGCACACAGATGGTGGTAACAAGGATAATGAAGGACCTTGAGTTCATACCATGAGTCTGATGGAGCTGGAGAAGAGAATGCTCTTGGGAACCATGTTACCTGTATTTGAAGGGAAAGTCTTATAGAAAGAGACTATTCTTTGTGGCTCCACAGGGCAAAATTAGGAGCAATGAGTAAAAGTCCAAAGAGGCAAACATAGGTTTAATATAATAAAGGGGGTAGAAATTGGGAGTGTTATCTGGAATTATTGGATAATGAAACTCCCTCTACCAGTGATAGTCAGCACTTTCTCTTCAACTAGTGAGCCTTAAAGAGTTCCCAGTGCACTGAGTCATAAGTGGTTTAACTAGAATCACAACTAATATATGTTAGAAGTAACTCTTGAATCCAGGGCTTTCTGGTGCTGAAGGTGGCTTTCTATCCATTATACCACACTACCTCTTATATTAAAAAGTTTTCTACTGACTAAAGCTCTCCATCTAACAACTAAAACTGCTGTTAAGCAGAGGCTGAATGAATAATTGTTAGGTATATTTGTAGATAGGATTTCCGTTCACATGATTTGTGCTCGATGGCCTCTCTGAGGTCCATTCCAACTCCCAGATATTTTGATTCAGTGAATGCACATTATAATGCTAAATTTGAACTCTAAAGAAAATTACCTTTCTCTTTTAGGTAGGACAAACATTTCCCTTATCTATGCTATTGGTTTGCTTAGGAAACTCCTTTTTCAATATCATGAGAAGGGAAGCTTCATCATTGCGTTTATTACATGTGCTGAATTAGGGGACTTCATTATAATGATATGTAACTAATAGTTATAAAACTTTTTTCAATTCCATTAATATAGTTGAATGCATTTAGATAAAGACTTCAAGTACAAATTTATGGTACTTCTCTCTGAGAAATCTTTTTTCCCAATTCATTTCACTATTTGTCAACATTAATAATGTTATTTAGTCAAGATGACTGCCATTATTCAACAAATATTGATTAAATGCTCACTATGTACAAGACAGTTTTCCAGGCACTGTGGAGAGATAGAAATATAAAGGGGAGGTGACATGTAAATAATGCAAAGTATAATGTGAACCTGTAATAATATGAAGTATGATGATAATTCATAGAAGGCAGATATATATGGCTGAGGGGATTGTATAATGCTTTGTAGATAAAAATAATTTGATTCATCAATTAAAACAAAATATAATGGTATAATCACTAACAGTTTCATATACGTATACAAGCTACTTTTAGTGCCTCTAAGAATACAATAAAATTTACTCTGCTGGTAAATTTGTTGTCAAAAAATCTCTTGAGATTACACAAAATCCTAGTTATTTTGAAGGTTTTTAGTTTTGCAGTGATGCTTGCATTTACCTCATGTTTTCCAGAAGTGAGTTGCTTAGGGCAGATTCACTTAAAAGAGGAAATTTCAAAGTACGCTTATTTTAGGAAATTAATTTGTTCCACCTATAGTATGGAGTATGTGTGTACATTGTTTATCAGTTGATTTTTTTCAGAGGAATTATTTTTGTTTCATGAAATCTCTCTTATATTATTGTTTCCTGGAATTTGAAAGCTGTTAGGAATCAATATAGTTTTATGTAGAATGCATTCACATTATCTGATTAGTTTGTTTAAAAGAAACTATAGTAGTAATTTATAAGGTGTAGATAATTTAACTTTTATTAAAATTTGCTTTAATTGTTTGAACTAGGTTCTAATACTTAATCTGATATTTAAAATATACTCTTAATTCTCACTTATAGCCTTCTAACCACTTCTGTTTCTCCCATTTGTTATTCTGAAATATCGTAATGATGCAATTTGTAAGTAGCATAAGGCAACAAATATTTATTAAGCTCTTACTGTATTCCAGACACTGGCAACTATTGGAACCTTTGGTGCTTTACAAAAAGTGTTTAATTTTCCTCTCCCCACCCACAATTATTTTAAAGGTATTTCTTCTTTTTGGCAAATATGAAAAGGAACTAAGCTGAAAAATGTGAAGAGACAATATTTGAAATAACTTGAAATCAGTTGAACAAGTTACTCCATAGAAAAATACGAGTCCTGAAATGCTTCAGCTCAATGGATATTTTTTTAATGCTTCATAGGTATACATCTGCTTGTTGCTGAGGTATATAATATTTTATCATATGGTCTCTACCACCAAGCAAGCAGTTTGTTATCTTGTTAGAGAGATAAGACTTACACATGTGATGGTACTAGAGAATGATGAGATTATATAAAACAAAGTGCTAAATTTAGTATGAACAAATGGAAATGCAGTGTGGCATAGTAATAAAAAAGATGGCTTCAAAGCCAAGAAGACCTGGCCTCAGGTCTTGACTCTGACACATCCTGGCTGGATGACCTTGGCCAAGACACAACCTCTCAGTGTTGGAAATTTGTTGCTGTATATTTTGAATCCTCCCTTATGTTCTGCTGTGCACATGGCAATGCTTTTTTTTCCATTTCTTATTTTGTATTTAAGTTTTAATATTTAAGTTTACAGTAGGCAACTTTCTAAGAATATAAGTTGCAGATAATGTATCAAAGTACATTGAGAGAATGAATTTCCTCACCTTGGAATTCATTATACCAATGAAATCATAGGTTCAGTCCTTATCTCTTATAATATAATTATTGTTACATTTTTTGAGAATATGTTGTGGAATGGGAGAATCAAATGAAATG